CAAAAAATATACATAGTAAAATTAATACACACTTATCTATTAATTATAGAGATAAAAATATACAAAAACCACCAAATATTTATACAATACATATTTTATACATTACATATTTTAATATGATAACAAAAAAAAATATTCAACCGTGCGCAAGCACGGGTTCTCCTCTAGTATTTATTTCAATGGACAAAGTAAAATATTAATTTTAAACTTGAATTTTATAAGAAGTTATAAGTCTAGTTTTAGTAAAAAGATATCAATTTTAATTAATTCAAAAATGAAAATAAATATACATTAGTATAATGATACTTGAGCATGTCAGTGGCAGTTTGACCTCATAGGCTAATAATCATGTAAATTATATATGTTTATAGGAAAATTTACTCATGCTTATTAGACTGTTAATTAGTTATCATTATTAGTTCTCCACCAACCCATGATAAACTAAAAGGTGAGAATCGTGTAAACTTTTGATAAGGAGAAAAGCTTTTTCTCGTTAACTATTTTATTAACACTATTAAAAATTGTGAACTCATTTCATTTGACTGAACAAGATATTGTGACATATGTGATGGATACGTAAATGTAAACAAAGTATTTTTCATTCTTATGTACATTACAAAAAAAATAACAAAATTTACACGAAAAATGTGACTCTAGCACAAGGTATGTATGTAACCTCATGTTATATATCTAGACTCTAGTTTTCGATCAAATCGTGCTATTCTTAACGATTTATCTAGTATAACAACTTGTGGAAATTTTTGAGCCGCCTACGTTGAAAGAGTTTCAAATATATTTATCGTAAATGATTTTACTTTATCTACTACCATCAACAAAACTTATCACCAACCTAAACATATATAAATAAATAAAAATAATTAAACAATGAACAAGATGGAAGAAGTGAGCTAGTCCACTTGGAGCACTTCTAAAGTTGTATATAAACCCATCACTCTTCTATGTCAATGTCACTATCTCATAGTCCATTCTCACATTTTCAATATGGTAGGCCAAATGAAATCATTTTTCTTCGTATTCATTTTCCTTGTTCTATCAAAAGCCGTCGTATCATCAGCTAGGAAACCATCCAAATCACAACCAAAGCCGTGCAAAAACTTTGTCCTCTACTACCACGACATAATGTTCGGCGTCGACGACGTGCAAAACGCGACTTCTGCAGCCATTACCAACCCCCCGGGCCTCGGTAACTTCAAGTTCGGGAAACTAGTGATCTTCGACGATCCAATGACCATAGACAAAAACTTTAAATCCGAACCCGTGGCCCGTGCTCAAGGGTTCTATTTCTACGACATGAAGAACGATTACAACGCGTGGTTCGCGTACACGCTCGTCTTCAACTCGACGCAACACAAAGGGACGTTGAACATAATGGGGGCAGATCTTATGATGGTGAAGAGTAGAGATTTGTCTGTGGTCGGAGGTACGGGTGATTTTTTCATGACTCGAGGGATTGTTACGTTCGAGACTGATACCTTTGAAGGTGCTAAGTATTTTAGGGTCAAGATGGATATCAAACTTTATGACTGTTACTAGAAGAGAGTACCACTAAATGGTTCGAGAGAGAGAGAGTCAGCTAGCGAGTGCCTGACTTTGTTAGAAGTTTTTTGTACTTTTAAAACTTCTGATAATTGAATAAGTTTGAGTTGTGTAATAATCTTATATTGGTTTTTATGTTTTCATCAGTTGGATATGCGTTTTGATGTATTAAATGATTTTGTTATAAGATTTTGCTTACAGTATCTCATGCGATGATAGCAAAAGAAGGAAACGTTCTTTCTACAACACCACTATAGTCAATATAAATTGGGTCACATGTCACTAAATAATTGATACTGGAATATGAGTGTCTTAAAACAATATTCAAACTTGAAATTATAAAAATTTTGTTCCATTTTTGTAAAGTATGTTTGGTCTTACAAGTTCATAAAAAGGAGGATCATTTTAATTCATGCATGTTACGAAAGTGTTTTGTGCTTTAAGGTAAAGAAAACACACATACAATCCTATGTTTTCAGATTTTCATGGTTGATTGGTTCGTTTGAAATATTCAGGTAAAGTAAAAAGATGTTCTAAACAACAACAGAAGCACATGTAATTTGTAAACACCGAAGCTACACACTTCTGCCTGCGGCATCCCAATAAACATGACTACGTGTGATGCCTTTACCCACTGTCCACAGACTGCGACACGCACATTCTTCTGCTCTTCATAAAACAAACAATACTACTCTCCTCCAATACATTACATAAGATTATAAAACAAAACATCAGTTTAGTACTGCCGCATCAATAAAAGATCCAGATGTTAATCATATAATGAAATTAAATGGTCTAACGAAGCGTGACAGGATTAAAGTGACAGACGGGTGATTGTAACAGTTTCTCTCGATTTTGCTCCGTTGAGAAGAAAGTAAACAAAAAGACTCCTCCCATGATCTAAAATTGAATAAATGAGATGAGCAGTTTCGTATCCATGATGATGGACAGGGAGAAAAGGGTTTCTTAAATTACAAAAAAAAAAAAGGTGAAACTTTTGTTTTAGTGAGTGAGCCGCTCTAAAGAAATGAAAAGTAATCAAGAAGAAGAAGAAGAAGGAGACGAGGAAGATGATGGAGGAGAAGAAGAAGGGCAAAAAGGGAACGGATTTATAGAAAAGTTAAGGAGAAGAGCTGTTCTTGTAGGCCATAGAAGTGTCTTTCGCCGACCTTCCACTCCTGCGCACATTAGCTTCAACCCTTCTTCCTCTGATTTCTCATCTAGAAAGCTCGCTGCTTCCCTCTGGGAATTCTATCAGTATTACGACATCGGCCACCAGATTCTTCCTCCTGCTACTAGAATGCACCGAGCTCCCTTAGGTTCTTCTGCTGGTCCCAGTAATCGTCGTCTCCGTCACGGCCATGGAAAGGCGGCGATTGTAGACAATAATGGTCTTGATCTCTCTGTGCACCAGGTCTCTCTCTTTCTTCTGCTCTTTCTAGGGATATGATTTTTACCCTGTTCTGGAATTGTGGAGAGATTTTTTATATTAGTTTGGTCCTTTTCAGTTGATTATTCCATGAAGCTGATTGGCTTTTAGGATTGGGCATTGCTCAAGTTTGGATCTTTTTTGACAATGTATCGTTTTTTCCTCCAAAGTTTGAATTTTGTGACATGGGTTGTGATGAATATTTAGCCCTAGACTGTTCTGCTGCTGGTTAAAGGTTTTGGGTTTATCCAAAATTTGATTTTCCTGTTGGTGATAAGTGTTCTGGGTTTGCCTAATTGCTCTGTTTCTGGTTCAGGTTTCTAGTTTTTGGCCAAATGTAGGTTTTCATAGTGGTGATAAGTGTTCTGGAACTTCCCAATTGCTCTGTTCTTGGTTTTGAGTTTTGCGAGTGATTGGTTGAGGAGTGTTAAATTTTGTTAATTGATCTGGACATGAACCTCTCAAGTTGGAGGCAATAATATTGCCACAAAATTTTAAGCTTATTTGTGTTTGGTTCTTGATTACTAGATTTTAAGCTTATTTGTGTTTGCATCTTACTCCTGCAGAGGATTCTCTTATAAGCTGTGATTAGGATAGGTGATGGGGGATTCTATCCTAAAATGTGATCTTTAATGGAACCAGAGTCACTTGGTTCTCTTACTAGTTTATTCTCACTGCGCTTGAAGATGCCTTTTGCTCCGGCTTTTCCTTTTAATCGATGCAGCTGTTCAGTAAAAATTTCAGTTTTCTGGTTTTGATTCTTCTATTTAACAATTTAGCTACTGTTATTGTGTCCCAGCCAGAGAGTGCGGGAAGTATAAGAAGACAGATCGGTCAAATGCTGATGAAGCATCATCATTTAGTTGAAAGAAACGACCATGCTTTGCGTCCAGTTTCTCCTACAAGCTACGATAGCTCCCTCGAGGTATTGACATTCAGTCCAAACTCTTCTTTTTCTTGTCTCAAAGAATTGAATCGAATTTTATTTGTTTTTATGTCAATTCTTGGGATTGGTATTGAGATGGATCATTCTTCAGGTGGCTCCATATAATGCAGCAGTTTCTCCAGGAAGTTCATTGGAGTATCGTGGAAGAAGACAAGCTGGTGAGCCTAACTACAATCTCAAGACATCAACCGAACTTCTTAAAGTACTGAACCGAATCTGGAGCCTCGAGGAGCAGCATTCCGCTAATATCTCCTTGATAAAATCTTTGAAAACCGAGCTTTCTCATTCACGTGCCCGGATCAAAGAGCTTCTCAGATGCCAGCAAGACGATAGACGTGATATGGATGATTTAGTGAAGCAACTTGCTGAAGAAAAGCTGTCAAAAGGTACCAAGGAACACGATCGTTTAAGCTCTTCGGTTCAATCACTAGAAGATGAGCGGAAACTGAGGAGACGTTCTGAGAGTTTGTATAGGAAATTGGCACAAGAGCTCTCAGAAGTGAAGTCGACGTTGTCTAACTACGTCAAGGAGATGGAGAGAGGTACTAAGTCAAAGAAGGTTCTGGAGAGATTATGTGATGAATTTGCAAAAGGGATCAAGAGTTACGAAAGGGAGATTCATGGTTTAAAACAGAAGTTGGATAAGAACTGGAAAGGGTGGGATGAACAAGATCAGATGGTTCTTTGTATTGCAGAATCATGGCTTGACGAAAGGATTCAGAGTGGCAACGGATCAGCGTTGGAGAAGCTCGAGTTTGAGATAGAAGCATTTCTTAAGAGTAAGCAGAATGCGGATTCTAATGAAACAGCGAGAAATCGCCGGAGTTCACTTGAGTCGGTTCCATTTAACGCCATGAGCGCCCCGATTTGGGAAGTAGACAATGAGGAGGAAGAAGATTCTGGCGGAAGTGATTCAAATTGTTTTGAGCTCAAGAAACATGGGTGTGATGTTGCAAAACCAAGACTCGACGATGATACTGAGAAACCGGAATTAACAAAAGCAGATGTTGTGTCTGGTGAAAAACCGAGGAGACGGAATCAAAGCCCGTCGAGTTTACAAGTTAAGTTCGAGGATCAAATGGCGTGGGCGATGTCTTCTAATGAGAAAAAGAAAGCCAGAGCCATTGAAACCGAGCCTGAAACGGATAAATGTTCTAAAGAAACAAACAATGTGGTTGGAGAAATGATTAGAACTCATCGAAGGTTATTGTCGGAAACTCGGGAAATCGATGAAGCTTCTTGCAGTTACCCAGCAAGGAGACGAGAGAGCCCGATACGTCAATGGAATACAAGAACCGTAACACCTGATCTCAGTGCGCCACAGGGAGTAAAGGACAAAACTTTGAAGGATAAACTAAGCGAAGCAAGAACAAAGAGTTCAAGGTCAATGATGCGGGTATTCAAGGGGTGAGTTTTCAATATAATCTGTATTGGAAGAGCCATTGTTGGTGAAATGGTCAGAGTCGGAGATGGAACTAGGTGAGATTGTTGTCTGAAATAGACACAACTTGAGAGAAGTTCCATGTGTGGATATGTTCATCTGTAGATAGAGCTATGTATATGTTTGTAACTATGTATAATTTATATCTGGTGTATATCGATTTGATCATCTCTGAATTTTGTATCCTTGATTTTTGTTTATTTCGGTCAAAAGATAAGAGTTGTTAATCTGTGAAAAAGTGTTGTGTTTTTTGAACATTAGTTTATAAAGAGACTATAAATAGCTGAAGCGGTGTCGTTTGACTGTTTCCGTTGGGTCTGTTTATATCAAAGTCATCGTTGTCATCGTCTCTGAAGAAGAGAGAGGAATGGCCACGGCGTCGTTTAGATGGATTTTGCAGCTTCACAGAGATGTACCAAAAGCGGCTCGATTCTACGAGAAAGGTCTCGATTTCTCCGTCAATGTGGTCACGTTACGTTGGGCTGAACTTCACTCTGGTCCTCTCAAGCTAGCTCTTATGCAATCTCCCAGGTATCCACTTATTGCCTATAACCTGTTCGATCATTTGCCTCAATGAAGCTAGTAGTTATTTTATTTGTGTTCGATCACTGGAAAGATAAAATCAATGTTATGATGCAGCGATCATGTGATGAGTGAGAAGGGATACTCTTCGCTACTATCGTTTACTGTGACGGACATTAATACAACCATCTCAAAACTTATGGAACTTGGAGCTGAACTTGATGGCTCTATCAAATACGAGGTCCATGGCAAGGTAACTGCAGTCTGCAAGAATGCTCTAATCTCTGAGTTGTATCTTTCGTGTACTGGATTTTGAAATCTTTCGGTATTGTTTTGATAACAGGTTGCATCTGTGAGATGTCTTGATGGTCATGTGCTCGGACTCTATGAACCTTCATAAGATCATCTGTTCATGATTTTTTGCTGTCTGGATTATGTCATGGTGGATTTGATTTTGATTTTTTTTCAAACCGTTTAATAATAATAAGATAATCTCAAGTCTTGAACAACAACAAAATAACTCAAATCACCTTTCCGTTGTGGACTGATCATTCATTTTAAAGCAAAAGACGCAAATGTTCAGGAACTAAAACAAAAATCAAAGGTGGTGCACTTCTTATTCTGAAATCTGAACAAAATACTCGTGAAACAATGTAGTTTGAATCCCAGTTCCCATGCTTAAAATAAAGCAAGACAAAAAGGGTTCTAGGAAAAATAAAAACAAGTGTCAGTGGAGTGTTGTTCAATTGTTCTTCCTAGCAAGCTTAGTCCATTCAGTGTGGTAGGCACCGGGACGATCGGTTCTCTCATAAGTATGAGCTCCAAAGAGATCTCTCTGCGCCTGAACCAGATTCGCCGGCAATCTAGCGCGTCTATAAGTATCGAAATACGCAAGACTCGCGCACATTCCAGGCGTGCTTATCCCTGCAGAAACAGCCAAACCAACAACTCTTCTCCAAGCAGCTTGTCTCTGAACCATCTCTTTAGCAAACTCGGGATCAACCACAAGACTCGCCAAATCCGGGTTCCTCTGGTAAGCTTTCTTGATCCTATCCAAGAAAACCGCTCTTATGATACACCCGCCTTTCCATATCCGAGCCAGCTCACCGAAATTCAAGTTCCAACCTTTCTCTGAACTCTTAGCCCTAAGCAAATTCATTCCTTGAGCATAACTACAGATTTTCGAAGCGTACAAAGCTTGCCTAACATCATCAACCAATCTCTTCTTATCAATTCCGCTTGAAGCAGTACCAATCTCTTCTTTCATTCCAGCTTCCCTCAAAACTTTTGCAGCATTTTCCCTCTCATCTTTCAATCCACTCAAATACCTACAATCCAACGAAGCAGCAATAGTTGGAGCCGCCACAGAAAGCTCTGCTGCTTGCTGAACAGTCCACTTTCCGGTACCTTTCATACCAGTCTTATCCAAAATCTTATCCACTAACTCACCATCACCAAAATCATCCTTAACTCTAAATATATCGGAAGTAATCTCAACCAAGAAACTCTCAAGCTCACCTCGATTCCACTCCGTGAAGATCTCCGCAAGCTCCTCATTGCTCAATCCACCAACGTTCTTCAACACGTCATAAGCTTCAGAGATCAACTGCATATCACCATACTCAATCCCATTATGAACCATCTTCACGAAATTTCCAGATCCACCTTCTCCGATGTAAGTAACACAAGGACCATCTTCAACCTGAGCTGCTACTTTCCCCAAAATATCCTTGATGTTATCATAAGCTTGAAATGACCCACCAGGCATCAACGAAGGACCGTTACGAGCTCCTTCTTCGCCGCCGGAGACTCCCATGCCTAAATAGAGCAATCCTTTCTGCTCAGCCTCGGAGATCCGTCGCTCGGTGTTCTGATACCATTCGTTACCACCGTCGATGATGCAATCACCGGGCTCCATGTACTCGGAGAACGCATCGATTGTTTGGTCAACGGGAGCACCAGCTTTGACGAGGATGATGAGAGATCTAGGCCGTTGGATCGAGAGGACGAAATCACGCGGAGAGTATTGGCCGGAGACTGGGAGGTTTCCTTCAACGGCGGCTCGATCTAGGGTTTCGTCGACTTTGGAGGTGGTTCGATTGTAGACTGAGATTGGGAAACCTTTCTCGGCGATGTTCAAGGCGAGGTTCTGGCCCATAACGGCGAGTCCGGCGAGACCGATTCGGGACAGAGCTGCGGACTCCATTGAAGAGAAGATAGAGAGAGCTTAAGGATTCTCTTTTGGTAGAGAGAGAGAGAGAGAAAATGAGATAGCAAAGTGATGAGAGAGAGAGAGTGGGGCGGAGATATTTATACTGTGAAATTGACGGACTCGTCGATGGAGCCAAGGGACAAACGAAAACGATGATCTCAATGTTTCCTAAAACGATGTCGTTTGGTAGAGACTGTCTATATGATGAACTCATTGATTAAAACGATATCGTTCGGTGTCACCACCTTACAAAACAGTAGCATTCACTTTGACATTTTTATATCCAACTAGCTAGTGGGGATGTTGGATTTGTTAATTTGTAATCATGTTTCATATTTTAATACTAAAGTTTTGGTTATAAAATGATCTTTTAATATAAGTAGGGAAATGGTAGTGTCCATGTCGAAGTTGGACTCTACCTCTTCGTATCGTCTCTTCATGTAGTAGTACTATTTCAATAATTTAACATCAACTTGATATATTAGCCTTTTGACGATGTTGAATGGTCGGACAACTTTAACATATACGAGTCTTAAGTTAAGTGGATCTATTAAACATGACAAGAGTTTTTGGGCCAAAATTTGTATCTTTAGGAGATAACCACATTGTTGTATTCAAAAAAGCCTTTTGCTTCACCATTTTTTTTTTTACTTTGCACAACAAGAAAGAGAAGATTAAAAACTAAACGACATATATATTCAGATTACACTTTTATTAAGATAACACTAACTTATTCTTAAGATATTGTGATAGTGATTCAAGAAAACAAATACAATGGTTGAAATCAAATGGGAATGTTGTTGTATTTAGCCTTCATAACACTCGCACATATAGTGGCCCTTGTAGCCTTGACAAGAACCACCCATAAAACCTTGTGTCGTACAATAAATGGCACATTCACTCTTTCTGTCCACACCGTTAGGGTCTGGGCATTTTCTCCCCGTTGGATTCATACTTTTTGCTTCTCCTCCCAACTCTATCATTTAAAAAGAAAACATTAGATCTAACGAATAGTTAGTTATACATATATATAAATGGACATATAAGATAGATATATCACCTGAGGTCAAGAGAACACATAGGCAAAGAACCAAGATGAAGGAGTTTTTGTTTGATGCCATTTTCTTATTTGAAGTTTCTTTTTCGTTGAACAAAAACACTTACAAGTTACAACAGTATGTGAATTTTACCAAGAAGAAGGAGAGTTTGATCCCCAAATACATATAAATGACTTGGTTAGAAAACGTATATCTAAAAATAAAGAAGGCCTATTTATATCTTAAAAAAACGTATGTGCATGTAACGTAGAAGGAGGAAGAGACTTTTGACCCTCTTCCTGTGACGAGGCTAGAGCATATTCAATGCTTGTATCTTATTTGAAGATCTTAAAAAAATCATTAATGTTTGAAAATTAACGGGGATGTATTCAATCCATGATTTTAGAGGATTTTGGAAAAAAATTAAAATTTTCTGTTATTCAACTTGTAATTTACAAATCTCTTCCTAAATCTTATGTTATTGAAAATGGACATTTATAAAATTAATTAAAATCACTCACAATCTCTTGTTATTCAAATAACAATTTGTAAAAATCATATAGAATCTACTGTTATTGGAAACAAAATAAATTCTTCTTCAAAATCCCATAACAGTGATTTTGGGAGATTTTGGACACATTTTTACACTAGAAATCCAATTTATAAAATCACACCTCCAAAGATGGTATTTTGAAATATTTATAACACACAGTTACGGGAGAATAATCACTTCACAAGGACAACTTCATTAGAGAACTTGATCCAGCATGATCATTACAATCACCAACGACAACAAAAGCCTTGAATCTAGTCCTCTTACCAGCTCTGGTTTTTTTTTTTTATGAACAAACATTATTTTTACCACCACGTCCTTTAATGTAAGACCCAGAAATTTATATGGTTTCAATACACCCTCCTAAAATTTTATAAAACATAAAAATTATTAATTTGTAACACACACAATATAAAAAAGCTCGTAGTACAAATCATATTTTAATTGTTGTCAAATTTTTGTCAAATATTTCCAACCAAATAAGATTTCAGTAAAAACATGATAAAACACATAGTACAAATCATATTTTAATTGTTGCCAAATTTTTGCCAAATATTCTCAACCAAATCATATTTCAATAAAAATATAATAAAACACACTAGTATAAATAAGTTTTTTTTCTTTCTAAACTCAAATCAATCACAAATAAACACGTAACACTAAGATACACCCACAAAATTCCTTAACCAAGATACATATTACCTAAATTATCATTAATGATTTAATTTTTGGTCTATTATAACTAAGAAATAACTTAAGATTCAAGCATTGGACATGCTTACTTTCTTGGAATCTCAACCATGTGGCAGGACAAAGGACAAGGTCCAAATCTAAGGAGTTTAATTGCTCTTTATTATTGCATCACCAAACCAAACATATGTTGAAAAACAATTTAACAAACGAAAGTCCAATGCCCATCAACAACATTCATTACACATAATTTCAAAAAATAATGGTGACAATAGAAAGAAATGGATGAATGTAGCCATTTGGTTGGATAAGGTTGGAGGAGTCATCATCATTCATCAAGCTGCACCAATGAGCGACTTTCGGATCTACACACATTCAAGAACAATAGCTAAATGCTTAGAAAAGAAGATCACAATTCTTGTTTTTATCTTGAGTTCTTGTGGTACTACATTGAGTAATTTAGGGGAGCAAATGGTGGATTTTGTCTAACCTCGGGAAGTTTCTTGCGGAAGGCAACCTCCAACCTCGCATCAAGCGTGTTTTCACACACGATTTTCCCATCACGAGAAGCCAGTACCACTCCTCCTGCGCTGTTATTTAGATATATATCCACAAGTGTCATTTGGTATTTTAGAGTGTTTTGGTTCTGTTATAGTTTTGAGTGTTTTGGTTTGATGAAATTTTACCAGGAAAGAGCATGAGGGTCATCATCTGAAGGAGCAGGAGGAAGGTAAACATCCTTGTCGACAATGATCTCAGGAGCATGAACCTTTGCTTTCTCACAATATTCCTCACTCGCATCATCCAGCATTGACTCAACCATGTGAAGATCTTCTTCACGGCAACGCAGTAACACTGCAGGCTCTTTCAATCTAAGCAAACACTGCAAATACATACTCAAAAAAAAAAAAAACAATTTTAGAGGAACAATTAAGAGAGAAACAACAATCAAAGAGCTTGTTTGAAAACTTAGACTGAGAGAGAACCTGAACAATGAGATCTTTCAAGAGATGTTTATACTGATGGTGATGATGGTTGAAAAAGCCATGTTGGCTAACTTTCAAGAGTTCCTTAGCTGCCTCTTCTTTCATTGCATTGACAATGTCATCTTGAGCTTGTAGAACCTTGATCCTCGACGCATTCAGTTGCATTGAGTAATCACTAATATTACAGAACACAAGAAACAAATTAGCAAACACATAATTAACAAGTGACCTATACAAACCAAAGACAAAACCATTTATGTCTATCTCTCTTCAAGAAAACAAGATCTAAAGCAAAGAGGAGCACATCATTTCAGATCTCAGTACAAAAGCAACCACAGAGACAGAGAGAGACAGAGGAGAGTGAGAAAGAACTCACATCTTTTTTCTGACATCAACCTGTTTCTCCTTCTTCTCATACTCTTGTCTTATCTTCTTCTTCTCTGCTTCAACTAGCTGCAACTTCTCAATGTTGAACTCCTACAATATCAACAAAACATCACATATAACCCACAAGATTTAGATTTCAAAGCCATATTATCTCAGATCAGAGCATATGAACTTGTTGACTACGCAATGAAATCTCAGAACAAAATCGAACAGGAATCTTAAGATCCGAAGATTAAGTAAACTAGTCACACAACAGTCAAGAAATTTTCGAAATGGTCTCAGGATCGTTATGCAGTGAAGATTCCAGAGAACTTAACACGAAATGGGCAAGTAAGATCAAGATCAAGAGAGAGAGAAGAATTACGGACTTCTTCGGCGGAGAGAGAGATCTCATTGGCCTTTTCCTCAGCTTCTTGGCGGATGAAGCAGACCATCTGGTGGATCTGGTTGGTAACTTCAGCATCGTTCATCTTCGTTCGCCTCTTACCGGAGAGAATTTACAAAACCAGTGTGGGAGATGTTGTTGTTGGATGATGAGAAATGATTGATTGATGAAGAAGCCGTTTCGTCTTATTATTATTATGGGGTTTGGTCACTCCGCAGCAGTTATTATTAATTTATAGTCTGCTTACAAAATCATGTTTGTTTTTGTTTTTATCCATCTACTAGAACCATCCAAATCCCAATCTCATCTCACTCACGTTCACGTGTTTCTCGTTTTATGTCAATAGATAAAACACTACACCAGTTATTTAGAAACAAATCTCATATTACTTTTATTTACTTCAACATTTCATTTTGCTAATTTGTGTTTTCCTATGTAAGTAATTTTGTATTTTACATAAATACTGGATGTGAATCTATCTTTCATTTTTCTTTGTAAGGAATTTTTTATTGTAATTAGTGGGTTATATTTGAATTAGAGACCTTATCCAAATATGACGATCTCACACATATAAGTCTATCCATTTCGATTATATAAAAAATGTTGTATTACTCATAATTTAGATAGATGCCTACTCTGTTTAACTTTAAACAATTTCACCCAACATTTTTTGTGTCCTTGTCCCAACTTCAAAAGTCTACTCAGACTGCTAGTAAAAAAAGAAAAAGCAATTTCTTAAACACTTATATAGTTTTAGATATGATTATTAATAATTTTTTTGTTTTGGTTTACTTGTCCCAAATTCTCAATAAATCATATCTAAATTTAAGACAAACATGTTTTCTATACATAAGTTGACCACAACATCAATAATTTCCTTTTTTTTTATATTTAGGTTGGTGAGTCAAAACCTCTGAGTTTTACCGCGCTTACGTTACATGCCTTACAGTAAAGAAAGATATTAGCCGTTAGTATGAAAATGCTTTCAAGCAAAAAGAGTTAAATACTCAACGATCAAAAATATAAACTCATAATTTTGCATAGAAACGGTCAAAATTTGTTAATGGCTTCTCAAGGTTTTTTTGTTTGCTTATAAAACGAAAAGACTTTATGTTTTGCCGGCGTATCTTTTTAAATCTCCCTTTCATAGTTCTTTATTTTTAATCCACAACAACAACAACTTCTCTCTAGCTAAAGAAAAGTTCTCTGTTTTGTTTTTACAGTTTGCAACAAAAACTAGTTTCTTCTTCACAATGCATATCTTCTTCTTCTTCTTCTTCTCTTTGTTTCTCTGTTTTGTTCTGATCTCATCTCAGACTCTTGACGACGACAAGAAAGCTTTGCTTACTTTCTTGTCTCATTTCAATTCGTCTCTTCTCCGTTGGAACCAGAGCTCTCCGGTTTGTCATCTCTGGACCGGAGTTTCCTGCAACGCTAACCGAGATCGAATTGTATCCGTTAGATTGCCTGCGGTTGGATTCAACGGTTTGATTCCTCCTTTCACCATCTCTCGTCTCTCTTCTCTCAAGTTTCTAAGCCTTAGAAACAACCATTTCACCGGAGACTTCCCTTCTGATTTCATAAATCTCAAGAACTTGACTCATCTTTATCTACAGCACAACTACCTCTCCGGTCCTTTATTACCGGTGATTCTCTCGGAGTTGAAGAATCTTAAGGTTCTTGATCTGTCTAACAATGGATTCAACGGAAGCATCCCTGCTTCTCTGTCAGGTTTGACCAGCCTTAGAGTCTTGAATCTTGCAAACAATTCCTTCTCAGGGGAAATACCCGATCTTGATCTTCCAAAGCTGAGCCAAGTCAACTTGTCCAACAACAAGCTCGTCGGTACAATACCAAAATCACTTCAAAGATTCCAAAGGTCAGCCTTTTCTGGCAACAAGGTGAGTAACAACACTACCCAGAGGCAGAGACAACACAAGATTCCTTTCGGGTTAAGCCAGATTGCTTTCCTGTTGATTCTGGCTGCAGTTTGCGTTTTGGGTTTCTCCGGGTTTTCCTATACAATGATCACTTGTTGCCTAAGAAAGAAATGTTTCGGGAAGGCTAGAATCCCGGGGAAACTGAGGAAGAGAGACTCGTCTTCTTCTCCAGGAAACTGGACAGCTAGAGACGATAACACTGAAGAAGGCGGGAAGATTATCTTCTTCGGGGGAAGAAACCACTCGTTTGATTTAGATGATTTGCTAAGCTCATCTGCTGAAGTTTTGGGGAAGGGTGCTTTCAGTACAACTTACAAGGTGACAATGGAAGACATGAGCACGGTCGTAGTGAAGAGACTGAAGGAAGTGGTCGTGGGAAGACGAGAGTTTGAGCAACAAATGGAGATCATTGGTATGATCAGACATGAATTTGTAGCTGAACTAAAGGCTTACTACTATTCCAAAGATGATAAACTCGCTGTTTATAGCTATTACAGTCAAGGAAGCCTCTTTCAAATGCTGCACGGTTAGTTACTCTTTTACTTTCATTGCTCTCAGCCTCTCACTCTGATGATATATCAAAAACAACATGAGTAAACAAAAAAGGTTCAATTTTTATATGCAGGAAACAGAGGAAAGTATCATCGAGTGCCGTTAGATTGGGATGCTAGATTGAGAATAGCTACCGGAGCAGCGAGAGGGCTGGCTACAATCCATGAAGGGAACAATGGTAAACTCAGCCACGGGAACATCAAATCCTCAAACATCTTCTTAGACTCACAATGCTATGGCTGCATTGGCGATCTTGGCTTGACAACCATCATGAGATCTCTTCCTCAAACCACTTGCCTTACTTCGGGTTACCACGCACCTGAAATAACAGACACGAGAAGAAGCACACAGTTTTCGGACGTATACAGCTTCGGTGTGGTATTACTGGAGCTCTTGACAGGGAAATCACCAGTGAGTCCAGCGGAACTAGCACCAACAACAAGACAAGGCGAAAACATGGATTTAGCTAGCTGGATAAAGAATGTGGTTGCAAAAGAGTGGACTGGGGAGGTGTTTGATATGGAGATATTGAGTCAGTCAGGTGGTTTCGAGGAAGAAATGGTAGAGATGTTGCAAATAGGATTGGCTTGTGTTGCTCTGAAGCAACAAGATCGACCTCATATAGCTCAAGTTGTGAAATTGATTGAAGATATTCGATCAGTTGATGCAGAATGAGACAAACAAAGTTGTAGTCTTTCTCCTTCATAGATCATTTGTTTATTAAAATTGAAAAGTGAATGCTATTTGAGTGATCGGTACAGAGCTGTTTTTGCAAAAAAAAAAGAATGAAACTTTGAATGATAAATTCAGAAACAAATACAAATCCATTTCATATATCGAAAAAGCAGAACAAATTTGGGGAAAAGTAACAAAAAGCATCTAATCAAAACATTAGTAGGAAGAAGATTCGACGAAGATGGATTAAACGGGAGTAAGGAGCTGAGAGAGTTCCGGCTTAGGATCCGAATTCATGCCGATGATGATGATCAGAGGGATGAAGCCATAGTGAGTGGCGACTTTGGCTTTCTTCAAAGACCAGTTGGTCCAATCCTTCAAGACATCGAACTTGGAAGGCGCAGAGGAGGAGGATGAAGAAGATGACCCCTTTGATCCTTTTGATTTTCCTTTTAGCTTCAACGAAACCTTAGCCGCCATTGATTATGATCTCACAGCTCTCTATCTATGTGTCAGTACCTGGGAAGAAGAGTCGAGTTTGCTCGAAGACAAAAACCCTAAGGGTTTAAGGCTAATCCCTTATAAAGCCTGCTTATAAGACTCTGCGTAAACCAGAGGGTCTCCTTTATATTAATTTATCCAATAATTATTATTCTCTCGCTCGCTGGAAAATAGCTGGCATTTTTAATTAATTTCTGGAGCTTACCTTTATAAAATCCCAAACATTACTCTTTTTTTTTTTTTTTCCCTTCTCTCTCATTTTCTTTAGGTCTCAAAGGCTCTCTCTGTCTCTTTCTCGAAATCTGCTGCAGGAGTGAATCGTCAAGCGAGTTTTGGAGGATCTGTTTGAGGTTAAACCTTACTCCTTTTTTTTCCCTGGAAATATTCAACCTTACTCGTCCTTTGTTCGTTTATCTCTTCCGTTGCTGAATCGATCTAGGGTTTTTTTTTGGGATTGGATCTAGGAGTTTGTGTTCAGAAATGGCTTCGAAACGGATCTTGAAAGAGCTCAAGGATCTCCAGAAGGATCCTCCAACCTCCTGCAGTGCTGGTTAGATTTCCTCTCTTATCCATTTTTTGAGCTTTATCGTAGATCTTATATGCTATAAAGTAAAATGATATCTTTTTGTGGCTTCTTAATCACAGAACATACTTATCTACAGATCTTGAGTATAACAATTGAATGTTGAGTTTCTTCTTTGAATTGAACATACTGCTTGCTGGGTGTACTGATCCTAGATTAGGAATTTCAGCTTTCTAATGATCATCGTTAAGAAGATAGCTATTTGAAATTGAGAAATCTATACCCATCCTGGATAATACTTGCTAAAAGTTGAGATTTTTCTTACAGCAAAACTTCTGGGTACTGATTTTAGATTGGCTGTTGCAGCTATCTTATGATCATAGTTTAGGCGATAGCAATTAAAAATTGAGATTTTTTCTTGGATTTGAGATTCTGGTGCCTACCATAGATTGCATCCTACCTTGTTTGTCTCAGTGTCCATAACTGATGTCTTGCTTTATGAGGAAATAAGAACAGTCTGACTTGTTCCCCATTTTTGAGTAGAAAGCTGTTAAGTCTTTGTTAGTTTTCTATTGCATGCTTGTGTTACACAAGTCTATTGCATTGTTGGTAACTGTTCATGCATGATTTGCTATAGAAGTCTTAAGACACTGTTATGGCGCTTTATGTTTTGTTGTGTGTATTTCAGTTAATGTCACGTATCATGTTTACCAATGCTAAACTTTCAATTTTGTCTTCTATGAACAATTTTAATCCTCAAGGCCCAGTCGCTGAGGACATGTTTCACTGGCAAGCTACCATAATGGGTCCATCCGATAGTCCTTATTCAGGCGGAGTCTTTCTCGTGACCATTCACTTCCCTCCGGATTACCCTTTCAAGCCACCAAAGGTGAATATCAGTTTTGCCAAATTAAAATCAGTAAATGGTTTCTATGGTATTGCAAATGAACCTTTCTCTTGCAGGTTGCGTTTAGGACAAAAGTGTTTCATCCTAATGTCAACAGCAATGGAAGCATTTGCCTTGACATTTTGAAAGAACAGTGGAGTCCTGCACTCACCATCTCTAAGGTGAAAAAGCACTCTTTTACCAATAGCAATGGGTATATATAATGAATATACTCTGGTTTGACTCCAATCTTCTGTGAATTTATAGGTGTTGCTTTCGATATGTTCATTGTTGACGGACCCAAACCCAGATGATCCCTTGGTTCCAGAGATTGCCCACATGTACAAAACAGACAGATCCAAGTATGAGTCTACTGCCAGAAGCTGGACTCAGAAATATGCAATGGGATAAAGTTGAAGTGTCTTCTGATCCCTGAAGACTCTGGTTCTAAGAGAGAGAGAGAGAGAAAGAGAGAGGACTGCTTTCGCATAGGATCTTGCATGAAATAAGTTAGATTCCTATGTTTTATCTCTTTGTTTGAAACCTCTTGTGATGCAAACAAAAAAACTCATTCCGTCTCCTCTTTATCTATCTCCTTGTTTCCTTTCTATGTTTTCCTTGCAACTCCTTAAAAAGAAATATTATGTAAAGTTGGACGAATTTTTTTAAAAAAGAATGTTTTGAAAATGTTAAATGTTTATTCATCTTGACCATTTACATTGTGTTATAGAAGAACTATATACTATGAACTTTTACATATTCATCTTTGTTTTGAAGTTGTCAATTCGCAATTTTACTGACCCTCGTTTGAAATGCAAAGTGAGACAGGGTTTGAAAGTTTATATATTACACGTTACAGATTCCACGTATTACACGAAATCCTATCCAAATCCAAATCTAGCATATCTATTAATTTATAAAGCTTTTATAGGAATGTGATTTAGCATTAGTACTTATTGGGCTATATTTACATATAGCAAATGAACAACTAATTATGGACTAACAAGGCTAAACGTACGCGTTCATTACGCAATACCATACAATGGGAACCCTTAATTACCCTATATATACCTAAAGAAAATCCTCTTAGATAACAATACGAATCCGAACAATTTGCTGCAATTAGATATGAAGATCGTAGCATTGTTCCTTATCGCATTCGTCGTAGTCTCGGCATCATTCCTTCCTACGGCAACTGCTACCGCAGCGAGCGGTAGTACTTCCAAGAGGAGTGGAGAATCATGTACTATAACTCATCAAAAACTGAATGCGCTTCATCTTTGCTTTGACGGTATGTCTCGTGGAATGAAGCTGCCGAACTCATGTTGTGAGTCAATGAAAGAGCAAGAAGCATGCCTGTGTGATGTAATTCAAAAGCGTGTTACCTTGAGTAAAAGTATCATTAGCTCTCATCTCAAGTCTTGTGGTGTTCCTGAACCCAATTGTTGAATGTAAACAACAATGTGAGATGCCAACACCAAACCCATTCGTACGGAAGATACGTACGTTGAGTCGTCGTGTGTCTTTGACTCTCTTGCTTATTTTCAGTGATTTATACAATAAGAAGTAATAACCAATATATAATGGAGAAGTGGTGTTTACTTGTTAGGAACATTTTCTCCGCCTTTCTCATTTCCCTTGCTTGTAAGAATCAATGATTCCATATACATATAGTATTTAAAATCTAAAACACATAAACTAAAGATAAAACAGTAGATTTTATCTACCATTATATATTCTAGTCTTCTTCTTTATTGCATTGTTTTGAAAATGCTATGAAAATAATATAGTGGTCGGTGTTAAAGCAAAAGTATATGATGATAGATGGTCTTTGGATGTCCACCAGCTAGCTTTACAACTTTTGATGACTTTGTCATCGATTCCATCATCTCCGGGAATTTGTACTAATTTAACTTGTGTGATTGAGGAACAAACTACCAATTTTCGGTTTTACGTTCCGAAAGCAAGACTTCTCACCTATTGGAATATTGGACGTACATGAGTATCCTTAGATGAATGATGAACCTAGATTAGATGAAGAACCACCATGGATATAAGCTCTTATAAAAACGATTATAAGCTCTTATAAAAAGGTCAAGCAGCTAATCCTACGTACCTATGTTTTACAGTTTGTATAAAACCTCAAATATTTCCTAAGTGCAAGAAACCATGTAAACAGAATATCTTCTTCATGCATGAACACTTTGGTTTATCAAGGAAAATAATTAAATATTAGAAATCAATTTAGGGAGAAACATAAATTAAACTTCAACATGTTGCCTTTTAATTCCACAATCATTTGGTTTCCAGATATTGGTTGAACCGGACATGTAGTTCCGGATCACATAATCGAGTTTCTTTTTACTTGCTGGGCTTTGTTTTTTCTTACAAGATACTACTAATGGGCTTTCTTGTCTCAGCACAGTGGTGGTGAGTAAATTCTCTGAATCTTTTTTACTTTTTCGTGTTCTATTTTTCTTTCTACATTCTGTAATTAATTCAAAAATCTGTGATGTGATACATCACACATTCTGTGAGTTCACTCTGTGCGGAAGTAGCTGTCTTCCTCTCTCAGGCTGCTGTGACCATATCGCCGGAGAAACCCTAAACGTTACTGAGCGAGATTTTACATCCATTTCCGAAATTTCAAGCTTCCTTGTCACTTCCAAGTCCAAAATTCACCATTTTTCTCTTCAGCAGGTATGTAGACATCTCTTACTTATGACTTTTTTAAAGGTTTTATTTTTGTGTTCTTCTTCTTTTGTTGTTGATACTCATTAGGCCATTATCGTTGTTTTGTTATATATAAATATTGTTTCTTTTTCAGTTAGGGTCCCTTATACTTCGAGGAAATCAGAGATTTGCATTTTCGAGTTTTTGGTTCTTTCTTGCTGGATTTAGCTGTCTCTGTTGCTGAATTTGTTGTTATTTTAGGTTCCTTATAAGTTGAGAATCAGAGATAATCTTTTGTATTTTAGGGTTTCATCCCCCAAAGTTTACATTTTTACTTTGAATTCCTTGTAGATTTGTTTTGTGCTCATGGCTGAAGCAGAGGTTCCGGTGTACTGTTACTGGAATGGTCGTATCAAGGATGGCCCAAATGGCATATACTATGAAGGGTCCACTCTTAAACTGATCATTGTTCAGCCAAAGACTCAGTTTAAGGAATTGTTGGATCATCTGTATCAAGTTACTGGATTAGATAGAAGTATATCAAAGTTTGATGTTATCGGTAGATATCCTTCATCTGTTCAAGGGTCAATGGTTAAGTACATACCTCTTCCTGTGGTTAACAACACTAGTTTGGAGATTATGCTTGAGGTTCCAAGCAACATCTTTCTATACTCAACGTTGAACTGTATTTGGAAGTGAAATCTGTATCCGATGGAGGCTTTGATCCTGCTGCTTGTTCATCGCCGTTGGCTGATCCCAGTTGTTCTTCGAAAAGACGGAAAACCGAGAAACCTGTCAAGTCAAAGAGTGAGACGGATAGAAAATCAGGATCAGATACGAGGGCACACGTTATTGATTTGACAGGGGATACCAGCACTTCGAATACCGATTCCAGTGTACCAAAACCGTGTATGTCTAGTTTGTGGCTTGATGATCATGACTTGCGAGTAGGATTGTGCTTCAAAGGTGGTGGTGAGCTCAAGAAGGCAGTTGACTGGTGTTCCCTAAAAGGGCAGCAGAAGTGTGTAATACGAGAGACTGCAAAGGACGAGTATATCTTTGAGTGCATCAGATGGAAATGCAAGTGGTCACTAGGAGCCGCTAGAATGGAAAAACATGGACTTGTTGAAATAATCAAGTATACTGGTCCACATACTTGTCCTCCCGTTGATCCAGAAGATATCAAATCAGAGTTTGAAGCAGATGAGATTGAACGTGTGGTCAGGGTTAAGCCCACACAAACAGTTGCAGAGTTGAAGAAATGGTGGAAAAACAAAATTGGCTATGAGCTTGAAACTTCAGATGTGCAGTCTGCAAAAATGGAAGCTATCAAAAGAGTTTTTGGAGACTGGGATCAAAGTTTTGAAGATTTGCCCAAATTAATGTCTGTCTTTCATTCATCAAATGGACTGCTCGTGGATTGGAAGTACCATCTTTTTCCTAATCCGAAGTTTGCATCGTTCTGTGGCGTGTTTTGGGCATTTCCACAGTCTATAGAAGGGTTTCAATACTGTAGACCTCTGATCGTAGTAGACACCAAAAACTTGAACGGTAAGTACCAAATGAAATTGATGATTGCCTCGGGGGTTGATGCAGCCAACAATTATTTTCCGCTTGCCTTTGCGGTTACTAAAGAAGTTTCTACTGATATTTGGCGTTGGTTTCTGACTGGAATCAGAGAGAAAGTTACACAAAGGAAACACCTTTGCCTCATTTCCAGTCCACACCCGGACATAGTTGCTGTTATTAATGAACCCGGGTCCCTGTGGCAAGAACCTTGGGCTTATCACAAATTCTGTCTGAGTCATCTGTGTTCTCAATTCAACAATGCTTTTCAAGACTACTACCTGGAGGATCTTGTGAAGCTGGCTGGATCTACGAGTAAGAAAGAAGAATTTGATTCCTTCATGAAGGACATTAAAAAATACAATCTAGAAGCTCAGAATTGGTTAGACCAATTCTCTCAAAATCAGTGGGCTCTAGCTCATGACAATGGTCAGAGATATGGAATCATGGAGATAGATACAACATCTCTGTTTGCAGTTTGCAAAGGATTTGGGCTGGCTGATCATGTAGTGACAGGTTCTGTGCTGCTTCTATTTGATGAGCTGAGATCCTCTTTTGACAAGTCTTTTAATTGTAGCCGCAGTTCTCTTAACTGTGGTGATGTGTACACCAAACCTGTCTTGGACAAGCTGGGAGAATTCAGGACATCTTCCGTTACTTACATTGTAATGCCGTTAGACAATAACACATTTCAGGTGGAAACACCGTCACAAAAGGATGAATGGATTGTTCAGCTGAGCAACTGCACCTGCTCGTGTGGGGAGTTTCAACGTTGCAAGTTCCCATGTCTACATGCTCTAGCCGTCTGCAAGAAACTGAAATTCAACCCTTTGCAGTATGTGGACGATTGTTACACCCTTGAACTGTTAAAGAGAACTTACGCCGCCACTTTTTCTCCTGTTCCGGAAATATCAGCTTGGCCAAAAGTTTCTGAAGTTCCGAGATTGCTTCCTCCTGTCATTCCGCCTCCACCCCCAGCGCAATCGCCACCACCTGCAAATAAAGTATCAGGTACCAAACGCAGAGCTACACCTCGCACTACAAAGAAGAAGAGCTGAAAGATGGATTTGAGTCCGAGTAAAGAGCATCTTGGTGGATTATATCAACTGATTAGTTATTATGTAGTATCTTTTGACTTTTGAGAGTAGGAGTAGGATTAATTCGGTTCAGGTTGTATAACGTAGATATAATGTGTTGCTGCTTTTGTATGGGAAAAAGAATGTGGTTTGTTCCTGAGAACTTATGGTGATCCCCTAAGCTAAACAGTCATCTAAGTTTTCGACTTTACAATATCTTTTCCAATATATCCTTGTTAATTGTTATGACCTTGCTCTTTTAGATGTCTCTCAGGTAATCTATAGCTCATTTTGATCTGCAAGGTTTAATGCGGACAAACTCATCCAAATTGAAATCGAAGAGCAAACAAGAAAAAATAATATAAACTTTTGTTTTAAGTTTAGGCGGGAATCTTAAACTTCTGTTTCGAACGGACTAAACACTAACGGGCTTTCATCTTTCGGCCCAATTATTCTTTAAATTCTGTATTTTTTGTTTCGAATGTGTAATATATAATTTCGAAATGCTATATTTGTGACTTATGCGTTTCCCTTTCCCTGATAGTTTTTGTCACATCACCGGAATTTTTCTTAGAGAAAGGTGAAATTACTTCCGTTTCTGAAAAATCCAAGCTTTGTAACGATACCCAGTTTCGAAAAATCTCCCTTTGTTCCAGGTGCGTAGGAGAGGACCTTACAAGTCTTAAGCTTCAGTATCACTGTTTAGTGTTTATGTTTCCTGAATGGGTTTTATCACTTTATCTGCTTCTTCTGTCCTAACAAGCTTTAGCCTTCCCTTTGGATATGTAGTTTTCTAGGGTTTTGTATGTCATGAGTTAAGGCCTAAAAAGTTTACATTTTTCTTTGGATTTACTGCAGGACTGTTTTGTTCACGGCGATGGAAACTCTTAGAGAAACGGTTACGGTGTTGTGTTACACTAATTGTTCTATTAAGTATGGTCCTGATGGAGTATACTATGAAGGATCTACTCCTAAGAAGGTCAGATTTAGGGGAAATACTGAGTTAAGCACATTGTTGGACGGGCTTTATCCAATTTTTGGATTAGATAAGCAGAGGTCGAAGATTTCAATTTTTGGTAGGCTCCCTGTAGTTGTTTCACCACAGCTATTTACGTATGTACATTTTCCCGTGGTGAACGACTCTACTTTGGAGATTATGCTTGAGGTTTCGAGCAATCATCCTTCTGTTAAAGATGTGGAGTTGTATTTGGAAGTGAAATCAACTTCTGATGATGCAAGTCCTGCTGCTCGTTCATCGCCATTGGAGAATTCAGGAAGTTCCTTGAAAAGACAAAGGACCCAACAACCCAAAGAAGGTAATGTGACACATTCATCTGTTAAATTAGAAAGGGATAATGGGTTAGAGGTTCAGGCAGTGGATAACAATAACGGGTGGACTGGAAACAAGGTAGATGCTGCTTTTGGAAACCGTAGCACTCATCGAGATGGAGGTAGAGAAATGAGGGATACAAACTCAGGGTCGGATGGGTTGGAGCAGGTTGTTAATTTGACAGCAACTAACGGCGATGCACACAAGGATTTGCATGAGTTAGACTTAGAGGAGTCGGCGAATGCATGCTTAAATAAAGGTGTCCAGTCAAGTGCTTCAAATCCGTGGTCTCTCTCCAGTTTGTGGGTTGATGATCATGAATTGCGCGTAGGGTTGTGTTTTAAAGGCAGAGATGAGCTGAAGAAGGCGGTGGACTGGTGCTCCATACGAGGGAGGCAAAAGTTTGTAGTAAGAGAAACCGAGAAAGATGCATATACGTTTGAGTGCATCAGATGGAAATGCAAGTGGTCGCTTCGGGCAGCTAGGATGGAAGAGCATGGACTTGTTGAGATAACCGAGTTTAATAGTCCACATACTTGTTGTCCTATAGGGTCAGATAACTTTGACGTGGAATTTGCAGCAGAGGAGATTGAATGTCTGATCAGGGTACAGCCCACACTAACAGTTGCAGAGTTGAAAGATTGGTGGTTTGAAAAATTTGGCGATGTACTCGAGACTTCAGTAATGCAAGCAGCAAAACAAGAAGTGATCAAAAAAGTCTTTGGAGATTGGGATCGAAGTTTCAGAGTATTACCCAAATTAATGGCAGCGTTTCACTCATCTAATGGCCTACTTGTGGACTGGCAATACGATCTTTTTCCAGATCCTGAATTTGCATCCTTTCGTGGTGTATTTTGGGCGTTTCAACAGTCGATTGAAGGTTTTCGACACTGTAGACCTCTGATCATAGTGGACATCAAAGACTTGAATGGTAAGTACCCTATGAAACTGATGATTGCCTCAGGAGTAGAAGCTGATGATTGCCATTTCCCGCTTGCATTTGCGGTTACCACAGAGGAATCTTCAGACAGTTGGCGTTGGTTTCTCACTGAAATCAGAGAGAAGGTGACACAAAGGAAAGGAATTTGCCTCATCTCCAGTTCCCACCCGGACATACTCGCTGTTATAAACGAACCTGGGTCCCGTTGGCAAGAACCCTGGGCATATCACAGGTTTTGTCTGGATTTTCTGTGCTCTCGATTCCACAATGTTTTTCAAGATGACTACCTGAAGAATCTTGTCTATGAGGCTGGATCCACGAGTCAGAAGGAAGAATTTGATTCCTATATGAATGACATAAAAAAGAATAACAGAGAAGCTCAGAAATGGTTAGACCAATTCCCTCAAAATAAGTGGGCTCAAGCTCATGACAGTGGTCGGAGATATGGAGTCATGACAACCGATACAGAAAATGTGTTTGCAATTTTTGAAAGCGTTCAGTCCCTTGGTCTGCCAGTGACAGCAAACATACTGCTTCTTTTTGATGAGATGAGATTGTTTTTCAACACGGGTCTGTGTGATAGCAGGGGTAGGGTTAACCGGGGAGATATGTACATCAAAACCATCATGGAAAAGCTCGAAGAGTTAATGACAGATTCCATCACTCACGTTATAATGCCCTTAGAGAAAGGTGTTTTTCAGGTCTCAGAGCCATTAAAGAATGATGAATGGGTTGTTCGGCTGAATGAATGCACCTGCACGTGTGGGAAGTTTCAATCAAAGAAGTTTCCATGTCTGCACGCTTTAGCAGTCTGCGAGAAGCTAAAAATCAACCCTTTGCAGTATGTAGACGACTATTACACTCTTGAACGATTACACAAAACTTATGCAGCCACTTTTTCTCCTGTTCCGGAAGTATCAGCTTGGCCAGAAGCTTCTGGAGTTCCGACATTGTTCCCACCGGTCATTCTGCCTCAACCTAACGTATCAGGTAAGTCCATCGAGAGTTTGCATTTTTCCTGTGCCCTGAGCTAACAGTCTTATTAATCCTGAATTTGATTTGAATTGGTTAACAGTCTTATTAAACCAAGAATCATGAATGAAAACTGAACTAAAATCGGTGTGAACATTACTAGTGTATTGTTTCTAATTTCAATATTATCTTAGAATTTATTAGGCATGGATACATCCATACATTCAATACGAAAGATAGCTTTACTCAAGAAGATTTATAACAATCCGAATACTTGTTAACCGAAGATTCCTTAGTTTCATAAACGAAATACAGAAATGAAACTAGGTTTTGCCATCATCAGTTTTGAGATATCTTTCTTTATCTTCTTATGTATCTGACGCCATGTGTTTATCTGTGTTTGTTTAATCTAGTAAATGATAAAACCAAGGAGCCTCCTAGTGATGTAGAATTGAGAAATGCAGTTGTTGATATCTTGAAAGTGGTGGACTTTAAAACGGTGAGGATTCAAACTACAAAAAATTATGTGTCTTCGAAGATAGTCTTAAGTCTCTAATAATAGCTTTGTTATTTCCTGACAGACCGCGATCGCTGACATCCTCAAACGACTTGGTATGAATTAAGATCATATTGTTTTATATCTTCACCGATGATGTGTCTTTGTAATTTATGTTTTTTTTTAACTAATTCTTACAGCTGAGAAGTTCAAAATCGATTTCACCACAAGAAAGTCATCTATAAAGGAAATGATAATAAATGAGCTCAGTTTGTAAGAAGACAAGACCAAGGATGAGGAGTGGAGTAAGTATGTAAGAAGAAATATAGGATTTAACATAAGCTCCATAGGATCCATTCATGCCCACTTTAAACACCGTTTCGATTTTTGAGTTTCTTTCTAATATGGAGAGCTCAAAGTTAGAGAACTAGACTTAGGAATCAAACAAGTTCATGTTTAATTGCGTTGCTGCTTTTGTATGTGAAAATTCAGTCTGGTTCTTTTGAATCCACGGTGGCTTGTTCTGTCTTAGTTAGACTATAACCTTACCATTAAAAAATTTAGAAGTCAACCATTACCGTATCATTCAAAAAGTTGGATGCTTTGGAACTACACGTTATGCATCAATGTTAGGCTGCTTTAGATTGACGACGACACACTAACACCGATCTCATCTTTAAGAAGCAAGAAAACGAATGTTAAATTCTAGGCGGGCATGGGATTGAATGTTTTAGTTTAGAACGGACTCAAACACTAATTAACGGGCTTTCTTATTTCGGCCCAATTGTATTTAATTTTTAGTCTGGCATCGAACAGTCTGTAATCCATTTTGAAAAGCTATACACTTGTTATTTCCCTGTCACAGAAACAGTAGTAGTTGTCTTTATCGGTGGCCATCACCGGAGAAATCCTTAGCGAAAGGTGAAATTACTGAAAGATCCAAGCTTTACTCTGCGACACCCAATCGAAAACCCCCTGCTTTTTTTTTGAAGGTGGGTAAAACTTTACAACTCTTAGTCTATTAGTCTTGAGTGTCACTGTTTATGTTTTTATCTGTTTAGGTTTTTATCTGCTTCTGTAGCTAAAAAAGGTTTCTCCTTTTAGAGCTGGAAAGTATTGTTGACATGGAGTTTTTAGGGTTTTGCATTTTTCTTTACAAGTCTTAGTTTTGAGTATCACTGTTTACGAGTCTAGCCCCAAATTTTACATTTTCCTTTGAATTTACTGCAGGTTTGTTGTGCTCATGGCTCTGGAAACATTCAGAGAAAAGGTTATGGTGTTGTGTCACTTGAATGGTTCTGTTGAGTATGGTGCTGATGGCGTACGCTATGGAGGATCTATTCTTAAAAAGATCACAGTTATGCGAAAGACGGCGTTAAACACATTGTTAGATAGGCTTTATGAAATTTTTGGATTAGATAAGCAAAAATTGGAGTTCAAAATATTTGGAAGGTACCCTGTAGTTGTTTCACCGGATCTGTTTACGTATGCACATCTTCCCGTGGTGGACAACATTAGTTTGGAAGCTATGCTTGAGGTCTCAAGCAATCATCCTTCTATAAAAAATGTGGAATTCTATTTGGAAGCTAAACCAACTTCTGATGAGGTTATTGTTCCTGTTATTTGTTCTTCGCCATTGGAAAGTCCTGGTAGTTCCTCGAAAAGACAGAGAACACTAGAAATGACGGATAAACCTTCAAATTCGGATGGCTGCTTGGTTAACGTTGTCAATTCTGGTGTTTTAAAACCGTGTCTTGTGCCCAGTCTGTGGATTGATGACGATCATGACATGCATTTAGGATTGTGTTTTAAAGATAGAGATGAATTGAAGAAGGCAGTGGATTGGTGGTCTATTAAAAGTCGTCGAAAGTATATATTAAGAGAGCCTGAGAAGGACATTTATAAGTTTGAGTGCATAAGGTGGAAATGCAAGTGGTCATTATGCGCAACTAGAATGGAAAAACACGGGCTTGTTGAGATAACCAGATATACTGCCCCACATACTTGTAGTCCTGAAGATTTTAAAGCAAAGTTTGTAAAAGATGAAATTGAACGTGTGGTAAGGGTACAGCCAACGCTCTCAATTGTAGAGTTGAATAACTGGTGGAGAGAAAAAAATGGCTATGAGCTTGAAACCACAGAGATGGAGGAAGCAAGAGATGAAACTATCAAAAGAGTCTTTGGAGATGAGGATCAGAGTTTCAGAGTCATACCGAAGTTAATGTCTGCATTACACACTTCTAATGGGCTGCTTGTGGACTGGCAATATAGTCGTTTTCCTAACACTGAATTTGCATCTTTCCGTGGCGTGTTTTGGGCGTTTTCACAGTCCATTAAAGGGTTTCAACATTGTAGACCTCTGATCCAAGTGGAGTCCTTAGACTTAAGCGGTAAGTATCCTATGAAATTGATTGTTGCCTTGGGGGTAGATGCAAGTAACGGTTATTTTCCTCTTGCATTTTCGGTTACTAAAGAACTGTCCGTTGACATTTGGCGTTGGTTTCTCACTGCAATCAGAGAGAAGGTAACTCAAAGGAAAGGCCTTTGCCTCATCTCCAGTCCCCACCCCGACATACTTGCTGTTATTAATGAACCAGGGTTTTTGTGGCAAGAACCCTGGGCTTATCACATGTTCTCTCTGGATCAACTGTGCCGTCATTTCCATGACGTTTTTGTAGACCGCTACCTTGAGACTCTTTTGTACAACGCTGGATACACGAAAAAAAAAGATGATTTTGATTCATGCATGAAGGACATCGAAAAGATGAACCCAGAAGCTCGGAAGTGGTTAGACCAATTCCTTCCACATCAGTGGGCTCTTGCTCATGACAGTGGTCTGAGATATGGAATCATGGAGATAGATCTAGATGATGGGTTTCCATCTTTAGACCTCAGTGATTATACAACAGGGGATATGATGCTTCTGTTTGATAAGTTGAGATCCTTGTTCGATGAGAACCTTAGATGGAGCTGTGCCTCTCTTAATCGTGGGGATGTGTACACCAGCCCTGTCATGATCAAGCTTGAAGAGTTCATGAAATCTTCCATTACATACGTTATAACGCCTTTAGAGAGAGATTCATTTCAGGTCTCAGAGCATTCAGAAAAGGAGAAATGGATTGTCCAGTTGAATGGCTCAACCTGCACGTGTGGGGAGTTCCAAATTTACAAGTTCCCATGTCTGCACGCTCTAGCAGTCTGCGAGAAGCTCAAAATCAACCCTTTGCAGTATGTAGACGACTGTTACTCTGTTGAACGGTATTACAAAACTTATGCCGCCCCATTTTCTCCTGTCCCGGAAGTTGCAGCTTGGCCTGAAGCTTCTGGAGTTCCAACATTGTTTCCTCCTTGCCCGCCTAATTAACACTCCAGATAAGTCCTAACACATAACTACTAAGAAGAAGAGCTGGAAGTTAGATGGATTTGAGTAAAACCGAACCCAGCATTTTGGTGGACTGGTGATTTTGTAGTATCTTTTGACTTTCGGAAAGTATGATAAATCCACTTCCAGTTAATATAACGGAGACATGATAGATACATTGCTTCTTTTTTTTTTTGTATATGAAAATTAATCCTTGTTGTTCTTGAAAACTTTTGGTGAGATCCCCTGAACCATTATGAAAACCAAGGCTAAACCGGATCGGAAACGTAACCCCACCATCGTCTCTTGCTTCTTTACGATCTCTTTGCCAAACTTATTATTATACTCTTCCTCTCACATCCTTCCCTCTCTGATAGTATTCAAATGGTGTCTACATGTTATATTTCCTCTAACAAAGTTTCTACATCTGTAAAGAGGCTTACTGTGTGGACAGAATCATCCTTACCAATTTTGAGTTTTCAAATTTTGATGCTTCTATTGATATTTACCCCATACAATATTGAAAGACAAGAATGATTGGGATTGGGACATGAAAGTTGAATTTAGGCGGGAAAATTTGAGTATTTTGCTAGTGTAGAACCGGACTCAAACATTAACGGGCTTTCTTCTTTTGGCCCAATAGCATATTCTGGTTTAAGCTACATTGAAACACCCGACATCTGCGAGTTCGCTGGCACAGTTGTCATGTTCACCGGTGACAAGTGGCTACATCACCGGAGAAGTCATTAGCGGCCGGCGAAATTACTTAAAATTTCTGAGATTCCAAACTTCTCTGCCACACACGATTTAAATTTCTCCGGTTTTCAGGTAAGTGATAGACCTTTACAAGTCTTACTTTTAGAGTGTCACTGTTTAGGGTTTATGTTTTCTAATTGGATTTATCTGCTTATCGCCGAAAAGCTTTAGCCTTTTTTTTTTCTTTTAGATATGGAGTTTTCGAGCTTTTAAGTAGAAGTAGTGTTAGGAGTTTAGGCCAAAAAAGTTTACATTTTTACCCTAAATTCAATGCAGGATTGTTTTGCTCCTGGCGATGGAAACCTTGAGAAAAGGTTATGGTTTTGTGTCACTGGAATGGTACTATCAAGTATGGTCCTGATGGCGTATACTATGAAGGTTTAACTCCTACAAAGATCAGAGTTAGGCAAAAGACTGCCTTGAGTACGTTGTTGAATGGGCTTTATCCAATTTTTGGATTAGATAAGCAGAAATCAGAGTTCAAAATCTTCGGTAGGTACCCTGTAGTTGTTTCACCGGATCTGTTTACGTATCTACTCCTTCCTGTGGTGAACGACACTAGTTTGGAGACTATGCTTGAGGTTCCAACCAATCATCCTTCTATTAAAGATGTGGAGTTGTATTTGGAAGTGAAATCGACTTCTGATGATGTTGCTGTTCCTGCTGCTTGTTCATCACTATTTGAAAACCCTGGTACTTCGTCAAAAAGACAGAGGACCCAACAACCCCCAGAAGCTACTGGTTATGTGACACATCCATCTGTTAAATTAGAGCGGGATGTTGGGTTAAAGGTTTGGAGAGTGGATAACAGTAACGGGTGGATTGAAGACGAGGCAGGTGCTGATATTGGAAACAGTAGCACTCATGGAGGTGGAGATGGAGAAATGACAGATAAAAACTCAGGTTCGGATGGGGTGGAGGAGGTGGTTAACTTGACAGCGGATAACGATAGTGCACACAAGGGTTTGAATGTGCCAGACTTAGAGGCATCTGCAAATGCTTGCTTATTAAAGAAAGGGGTCAATTCAAGTCCTTTAAAACCGCAGATTATGTCCAGTTTGTGGGTTGATGATCATGAATTGCGCGTGGGGTTGTGTTTTAAAGATAGATATGAGCTAAAGAAAGTAGTGGACTGGTGCTCCTTTAGAGGGGGGCAAAGGTGTGTAGTAAAAGAGATTAAGAAGGACGAGTATCTGTTTGAGTGCATTAGATGGAAATGCAATTGGTCGCTTCTGGCAGCTAGAATGGAAGACCACGGGTTTGTTGAGATAACCAAGTGTAGTGGTCCACATACTTGCTGTTCTATTGAGCCGGATAGTTTCGATGTAGAATTTGCAGCAGATGAGATTGAATGTCTGATCAGGGTACAACCCACTCTAACAATTGCAGAGTTGAAAGATTGGTGGTTTAAAAAATTTGGCTGCAAGCTTGAGACTGCAAAGATGCAGGCAGCAAAAAAGGAAGCGATAAGAAAAACATATGGGGATTGGGATCAAAGTTTCAGATTATTGCCCAAATTAATGGCTGCGTTTCACTCATCTAATGGGCTACTTGTTGACTGGCAATACGATAGTTTTCCTAATTCTGAATTTGCATCATTCCGTGGCGTGTTTTGGGCGTTTTCTCAGTCCATTAAAGGGTTCCCACACTGCAGACCTCTAATCATAGTGGACACCAAAGACTTGGACGGTAAGTACCCTATGAAATTGATGATTGCCCAGGGAGTCGATGCTGATGATTATTTTTTCCCGCTTGCATTTGCGATTACCCAAAAAGCATCCACCAATAGTTGGCGTTGGTTTTTCACACAAATCAGAGAGAAGGTTACACAAAGGAAAGACATATGCCTCATCTCCAGTCCCCACCGTGACATAGTCGCTGTTGTTAACGAACCGGGCTCTCTGTGGCAAGAACCCTGGTACTGACGTTGTAATGCCATTAGACAAAGGTGCGTTTCAGGTCACAAAGCCGTTACAGAAGGATGGATGGATCGTCAGACTGAGTGAATGCACCTGCACATGTGGGGAGTTTCAATCGGAAAAGTTCCCATGTCTGCACGCTCTAGCAGTCTGCGAGAAGCTGAAAATCAACCCTTTGCAATATGTAGACGACTGTTACACTCTTGAACAACTACACAAAACTTATGCAGCCACGTTTTATCCTGTTCCAGAAGTATCAGCTTGGCCGGAAGCTTCTGGAGTTCCAACATTGTTCCCTCCACCTCCAGTCATTCTGCCACCACCGCCTCCACCTGCAGTCATTCGGACTCCACCTAACGTATCAAGTAAGCCCCCAACACAAACCTAGTACTTGCACTAGTAAGAAGATGAGCTGAAAGTAGGATTAAACTGGTTTGGGTTATATATATTGTAATGTCGTAAAAAAGACACTACGTGCTTTTGTTTGTGAATAAGTAAAACAATGCTGTGTGAGAGTTACGCATTTTGGTAAGCGCAGTCCATTAATCAAAGACAAATCCGGTATTATATAGCATTACTAGGTGCACTGTAATATCAATTGTTTGTAATCACAAAAGAACCGTAGTAATTTACATTTAGTAAAATATGGATACATTGGATAGAAAGTTACTTTAGTCAAGACTAAGTTACAGAATAATATGAACTCTCACTTTTGATTGGATAGAAAATAATACTTTAGTCAAGACTTAGTTCTAGAGCTCCTTTTACAAACGATGTATTAATTCAGCGAGAGGATAAAGATTACATAGTCTTACCCGATGATACACGAGGCTCTTGACTAACGTTGAGCTGGCACAAACTAGAGCTTTAAGTATTAACATCTTTGACAAAGTGATTAATTCCGTTTCCGAGGTTAGTGTTAAGTTCGACTTCTTGTTGTCTAATGAGGGAAATAAATAACTCATTATCGAGTAAGGAAATCAAGAATTTGGAGTCCAAAATTGTAAACTTCAAAATGCACTGCAGCTATAAATAATAAAACATAAGATAACATGAACGTTGCTAGAAGTTAAGTGAACATTTCTTCCAAGATCATGGATTCTTGTTGAACTTCAGCGAAGGGAACTTGAATATGATTCTTGTTAACTCTGTAACACCATGGGTTATTTTTGTGTACATAATATATTACAAGTCTGTATATCGCTGGTTCAATAAGTTACAACATTTGTCTGAACACACCTGAAGCTAAACAACCTTGGATGCAAGATTAAGAACAATAACTATATGACGCCAACAATACACATAAATAGTAACAATCATCAAGAAAACAAAATGATATGGTACAGCAAAAATTACCCAAAGAGTCTCACCGACGCCGATTAGAGAGTTTACGATTAGACCTTTTTCCAGCGGTTGGTTTTGATGTGGAAGAAGACGAAGCTGCGTGCGACGAATTCCGAATTTCCAATTTGTCCTCAGTAAAGGCCTTCTTCAGTGACTCTTGTATTTCCATATACCTTTGCCTCTTTTGTAGTCGGTTCTGAGGGGTGTCTTCTTCTCCACAAGCCAGTTCAGTCAAATCATCACAGTCCATAATCCGGTCGAGCACATCTGAACAGCGTGGGAAGAAGCGTTTCCCAAGTTCCACTGATGAAAGGCAGCAAGTGACAAAACCATGTTTAGTTTTGTTCTTTTTTGAGAAGGAGTAGATGAAGTGAGAGTCCATACCGGTTTTAGTAAGCGCTTTTAGTCGACTTTGATGCTCTTCTAGGATTTTGAAAGGTGCTATATCTACGTCCGGTGATGTCCTCTTTTTGCCAGTGAGATGGGCAGGCTCGTCGCTAGTCACTATGAACTCACATGTTCCTTTCATTTGGGCTATCTCCATTGCCATTTGTGCTTCCGTTGGAAAGAGGCGTTGAGCAAGCGCAACTAATCAGTGGACATAAAAGCATCGTTATCATTAGTTCACTCTGTTTCCTAACAGAGCACACCAAATCCAATCCAAACATATGAGACCTCAAACGTAAAAGTAAAGAAATAAGAGTTGAGAGATGATACTACCTCTATTTTCAAGATCGAGTAGCCTTTCCTTCAGTTCCTTGGCAGCCATTGCAAGAGGAGGAGCATCTGTAGGAATTGTAACTCGTTTATCAGCTTCCTCTAATATTCCTACGCATACTCGACCTTTTTGAGAATGCTTGCTTTGCTCCGGAACATTATTATACTCAACCGCCATAGTGGCTCGTTTAGCGATCAAGAGAGCGGTTCTACCTTCCAAAGTTGTTTCTGATGCACGCGCACCTTTTTCCAGTAGAGATAGTATCAGTTGTGGCTCCTTACGCATCGCAGCGACATGAAGCACCGTGTATCCCCTCGGATTTCTACGGTTGACATCGGCAAGATCCAGTTTTAGGAGATCTGTTGCGGTCTTCACATCGCAATATGCAACAGCAAAATGAAGAGCACACGCATCATCTAGGTTGGTGTGGCCTTCCGTCAAAAGCAAATTGACTAGCGTGATATCATCCGAGTCAAGTGCCTTATGTATCTTGGAGACATGTAACTCTAGTTCAGGTACCTCGGAACCGAGCTCTTTACGTTTGCCAATTATCTGTTTGACAATCTCTTCCGGCAAAGACTTGTCAAGACTAACTTTATCGACATCAGACTTGACAATAATCTCTATGCATCTATCCAATAGCTTGGTACATGATGTACCACATATATTAGCAAGCTTGAGTATAACCAAAGCGTCCTCTATGAAAACTTTGTCTACAATTTTCAGTAAATGCCTCTGAAATGCAAACAAAAGTACTCCCAAGTAAGAACATATATATATATATATATATATATATATATATATATATATATATATATATATATATATATATATATATATATATATATAACTTGACGAATGTATAAAAAGCTTATGCAGATGGTACCTGATAGAGTTTGACTAATTCAGGGATCTTGAAGATGAAAGCCAAATAGAGAACCTCCAACCTGAAATCCACCGCCGGCCGGCAAGCCTCGTGGGGGCAGTTGTCGTCTGCGCATTCAGACACTCCTTTCGGAGGTGGCCTCACTCTGCTGCTGTAAACATAAGCCAAAACTGTCACTACCGAGTCGAAACTGACTTCGTAATCCTTGGCAATCTCCTTCAGCTCGAGCTTCACGATGGCGTTGGAATCTTTCTCCTTCTCGGCGGCGGCTAAAGCGTTCTTGAAGAAAGGGCTTCTCGCTGAGACAACGCAGCGGTGGAAAGATACTTCCCTGCCGTCAGCGAGAACGAGCTTAGCGTCGCTGTAGAAATCTTCCGGCGAGTCAAACACGGATTCGAGGCTGTTGGAGAGCAATCGCAGAGCCGAAACATCAGGTCCGGTTAGAAGTTTTTCGGCGGCAGGATAAACGATAGAGGACTCGGTGGGCGCAGGTGCGGCGGCGAAGAAGCTAGCACTGCTGATTTCATAGGAATCGGCAAATCCATCAAGATTGGTGTCCATCAAAACAGGTTCTTGAAAATTTCAAGAAAGTAAAGAACTCCTTTCAATCAACGAAGAAAAAGAAACGATTTGGTAAAGATGGAAGAGAAGATAATAACCATTGACGAGCAGAGAACGAGAGAGAGTAAGGAAGCAGCTAGAGCCAAAAAAAAAGCCAAAGTCAAGTCAACGAGGATTAGAGAGTAGTGGTGAGAGAGAGATGAAGCATCCTCGAACAGTTTTCACCAGTATCGGTAAGTTTCCAGGAAAAGGAATTTTAATATAGTTCCTTCATTTAACAGGAATACTAAACCGGTTCGACTGTTGCTATTTTTGTATGTGAAATTCAGCCCGGTTCAGTGATCCCTTTGATGAACGGACCAAACCGGTTTTGGGGATAAATTGTTTGATTCAAAATCAAGAACAAATAAATAACACATTAACACTAAACATGCTTACAATTTACATTTCTAGTTTTCTTTGACAAATTGGTTATTTCCAAGGCCGGTTCATTTGAGGTGTCATAAGCAAGCGATGGTTTCATTAGACTATGCTCAGGTGGTTCGATCATTTGAGATATGAAAGAGACTTTAGTTCAGTGTAGTATGATATTGTTGGATTTATATATTTTTCTTTTTTAAGTTGAGATTCATTGTATCAAAATGAAACAAAGATTCGTTACACTATGCAAAGAATCACAAACAGGAAAGTGTAGCAAAATATCAAAAGTGAAAAACAAAAATTAAATAACAAAAAGCATAAGTTGTCTTGTTTTATTCAGAGCCGTTGGATCTCCCGGATAGGTTATTGTCTTATTCTGAGCCGTTGGATCTCCCGAATAGGTTGTTTGTTTTATTCAGAGTCGTTGGGTCTCGCGTCAAATTCAACTCTTTTGTGATCAGAAAAGAGAAGAAAATAAAAAATGGTCGAAATATTGGGAGGGGAGTAATTTGGAGCCCTTATTTGTAAAATCTCAGATTCTCCGTTATTCATGTTGCGTAAGCAGATTTGGTTCTTGTCAGCCAGCGTTACGACGTCGTTGCTTAAGAAGCCCACGGTTTTGAGGCTTAAGTCTTTAGGAAACTCTTTAACATTTACCCAAGAACCCCCAAAAGGGCTTTTCAAAACCCATACCTCCTCATAGTTCAGTCCATCCTTGGTTCTCGAACTTATAATCGCAAGCTTACCTTCGTAGCTTGACAAATCTTGAGAGTTACCGCTTGCTATATCCTCAGGAACCGGAGAGTATGACCAAGCTTCGGTTTCGAAACAAAACCGGATCACATGCTTGCGGGTTAACCAATGCAAAAACCCGTAAGAAGATGTCGGTTTAGAGTTCCAATAACTCAACATGTCTCCTTCCACTAGTTCCAAATTGTTCAACCTTTTCCATGCAAACGTATCCGAGTCGAAAACTTCACAGACGAAACTAGTATTGAAAGTGTACCTTTGATTCTCCATGTAACAGACATGTGAGAGCCTGAGGATCTTGTACCGAAAAGGGTTAGAGCCAATAACCATTAAACCGGTAGCTACGGTGATAGACTGGTTTTTGGGTTGGGGTAAGACCAGGTACTGTTTCGTTGTTGGTTTGCAGATGATGTACTCCGTTAACGGACGATCGTCAACACAAAGCAAGATCCCATGACTTGCGTCACAAGCTTCAATCGTTATTCCCATCGGAAGAAAATCTAGCGAGACTTCATGAGTCCCACCAGGTTCGTTTCCGAGAGCTTCGACGAAAAAAGAGCGTAGAGTTAGCCTTCTCGAGTACTGGAGGAAGTAGCCGCAAATGGTTTCGGTTCTTTCGAGATTCAGTTTCAGAAACTTAGAAGTGTAAGTTGTCTTGCTACATTCTTTGTTTAGGAATCTGAATTTTTCGACCGCCCAAAATGGAGTACGGGAAAGAACCTCACTGAACATGTCTTGATTTATCATCTCAAAAGAACTTTGTGAGAAATGTCAAAAGACAAGAATGAATATTTGTGTTTGTTTGATCTGTGGCTACTTACAACAACAAATAGCTATATATATAGGATGGTTTTGTAACCCTATCTCCTTCTTGTTTCATTATTTTGGTGACAATGACAACAACGCACCAATCTGTATTGTTGTTTTTGAATATTATCAAATTTTTATTTGCATATCACAAATCAATTACCACAATTAGAAGCTAGAATATGTGTATATTCAATATTACTGGAAAATGGAAAAAATCGGGTAGTGTTCACTTCACTTGTAAAGTCTGAATCACAAATCAAATATATATAAATACGTAGGTGTCTCAATTTCCTACATAATTATATATTTATTAACAAAATTGAACCAATGATATCATTAAAATTAAAATATTTTATATTTTTATTTTATCAAAAGAATCTCTTGAGTTTTGGTATCAAATTTTCATTTGTATATAACAAATTACCAATTGGAAATCGGTTAAAGATCATTGAATCATCCATTATCCACTTCACTTGTATTGTCTAAATTATATACTTGATAGATTCTATGATCTATATTTTAGGAAATGAATACTATGAAAATATAGTTGAACTAAATTTAGGCTACAAGTGATCAAGTGAATTGTGATGATTCAATTACCCCAACCTGATTTTCAATTCCATTCATATGAAAAATATATATAGCTTCCAATTAATAATTTGTGATATGCAAATAAAAATTTGAGATAATAATTTAATATTCTTAACTAAAAAGTCAATAAATTACTTTCTAAAAAATAAGACAAAATAAATCTACATATTGTAAATTGACTAATATAGTAATAAACCAAATGAGATCAAGCAGAAAAATCTAAACCCGATATGGTTCATTCACAATACTGTACTACAAAAAAAAAAACATTTTTAACTTTTATTTTAGTTTATATCATTGGTTTAATCTTTTAATATGAATTATATATAAAACATGTATTTGATATATAATTCAAACGGTACATGTGAAGTGAATACTGGTGATCCAATTATCCATGCATACCAATTTTTCATTTTCCAGCAATATGGAATACATATATTATTCATCAGAATTATGTTAAGAAAGTTGTAAGTATTTACAACCTAAAACCAAATCATCCCCACTATGAAACAAATTAATAAGAACCACTAGAACATTGTTTCAGATTAATCATATATAATGAAAAATGACATTCAGAAATTCAATACTTGTTGTATTGAGTGAACAAAATACCATTAACCAAGAAATCACCAACACAAAATAGCATTACATGACTTACATCACAAGCTTCAAATCTTCACATTTTCGTAAGTAGAAAATCAAGTGAAATTTAAAATCTACAAAGATGTTTTCGCAATGTGAAAGTAAAACTTTATATATTCATCATATTTTATTTAAAACAAAATTGGTTCTTCCGAACTTTGAAACGAAAGAAAACATAATCGTATACGCAATCGACTACAGTTGGATTACGTACCTACACCAGATAATAAAAGAACTTGGAGAGGACTCAGTTGTTACTTGTTAGTTAGTTGCCCCTTGGTTTTAGGGTGGATCTACCTCTTCCACATTGACGATGCCCTCCTACTCACGATCTTATATAACTTGCACTCATTATTTCAATATGAAAAACATTACAATTGAATTACATACCTACACCAGATAATTTCAAAGAATCTTTGATGGTCACATCTTGATTCATTACCGAAGATTCATGACTTTTGTTTTCAGATCGAGAAGAGAGATTTTATGAGTTTTAGGAGGATATGAAAACAATAATGAATTTGATAGTTATATTTTTTTGCCTAAAAGTATAAATAGGAGCGCCGATTCATCTGTATTCTCATAAAATAAAATTTAAGATGTTATATTTCTTTATTTATTTCTTTAGTTGTTTGAAATCCGCAATATGGATCCTAATTAAATATCGTAAATCGCATACCATTGGCGGCCTTTTTTTTTTTTTACTAAATTTATCAGAGCCCTCACAACTAAAACCGCTTAACAAAAATGTAAATCATCAACAAAAGTGTGTTTTATATTCTTAATAATATTTTCCAAGAGTTGTAGCATTTGGTGATGCTTGTAAAATGCCTCTACCATTTGGCTTCTTGCTTCAACATCCTTTAAATAAAAGCATGTTCATAGAACATTTTAGTTAAATAAAAAATGATATTTTAGAAATTATATATCCATTATTTTTTATCAACTATTTTCCACTAATGTTTAAAGATATGGTATTAAAGAGAGTGACATTTTTGTAGCTGTTTTGAAGATGAGGATTTATTTTATAAATGTACTTCAAAAATACCAATGTAGTTATTTCGTTTATTGAAAAGGTAATTTTCATTGTTTCACGCTTCCACTTGTTTAAGTCGAACATTTTTCTGGGACAATGAGTTGGTTTTTTTATTTTGGGTCAGAAAATGAGTTCGTTTTATTAAAAGGTTTTTTTTTTTTTGTATATACACATAAAGACTTCTTTAGTTATTTACCTTCGACTTCTCGTGTGCAATCGTGCTCAATCATGCTAAGTCATCAGTTTCTATCAAGAGTCAAGACCTACGACGTAAAACCAAATTCATAACACGTCTAAACAAATTTGGCTGCTTTCACAATCACACCCTTCAAGTTTCTTCCTTCTTCCAGATCAACTCTCTCGTAATCAGAACAAAACGGGAAACAACCGTAACTGGCAAATTCCTTGATTGCATGAAGAATATCCAACTTCTCAGTGTTTATGTTGTAGAAGCAAACACGTTCCCAGCTACAAAGTGTTACGGCGTCGTTGCTTGGTGTCCAGAGAATGTCATCCTTCCCCCAAATGCTTTTAATATCTTTCACTTTTTCCCATTTCTTTCCAAAACTGCTCTTCAAAACCCATAACCCGTGAACATCTTCTTGATCTTTGTTTGTCCACTCACGAATAACACCTAGCTTCCCTTCGTATCTGACCAGTTTTGGGAATACACCAAAGTTTGGAGTATGTAAGAAAGACCAAGCTTCGGTTTTAAGACAGAACCGGATCACATTGTTGTTCCGGGATCTCCAGTGCAAGAAGCCAGAAGCTTGTACCGGTTTTGAAAGAATGAGACCGTCTGTTCTTGGTAGACGCAAGTTTTTTAGTCTCTTCCACGTGAACAAGTCGGAATCGAAAACTTCGCACGCGAAGGTTCTGAGGTTCCGGTTCATACCGGGCGACTTCGAAAGCCTACATATTTTATACCGGAAAGGGTCCAACCCGACTACCGTTATACCCAATGACTTGTCACGACCCGGCACTTTTGGGTTCGGTATGATCTGATACTGTTTTGTGGTTGGTTTGCAGACTATGTATTCCGGTATTAGTCCTGTGTCATTAACACAAAGCAATATCCCATTACTTGCATCACAAGCTTCTATATTCACCTTTCCCTGTGGCAGGAAATCGATAGAGACTCCGTTGTTTCGTACATCGCTCCTCTCTTGGATAAAACTAGTTCGAAGTTTATCGCCTCCTTCTTTGTAGCGTTGTAGGAAGTATCCGGAAACAGAATTTGTTCTGTGGAGATTAAGATCGAGAAACCATGACTCGTAGCTTCTCTTGTTGCACTCTTTATTCATGACCCTGAATTTTCTGATTACAGACGCCTGTAGATAAGAAAGAACTTCTTGGACCATGTCTTGATTTATCACCGGAGAACTCATGATCCTGATGTCGAAAAAAAGATGTGAGCAGTGAGCACGATCACCGAATGAGAAATATAAAATTCAGGATCGGTAAAGCGAAGAACATCATATAAATATATAGTGTTAGTATATCCTTTTTTGTTTAGGAAAAGTACCAATATTGCCTTTTTTCTTCTTCGCTAGTGTTTATACTATCATGCTGAAGGGTTAAACCGGAACACATACCTAGATCGGTTAAGTAACAAATTTGACACAAGTTCGTCTGAGAATCGATAGGAATGCAGAAATCGGGTGTCACGTTTTAAACCAAGTTTCCAAGATTGTTCTGTTCTTTATCTTTGTTTGTTTGTGTTTGCAGAAGTAAGAACAAGAAGAAGAGAGAAGAGAGAAGACACAGAGATTTACAAGTTCCCAAGGCCAATGTGGCCAAGGTACGTCTTGGTGAGCTTAAACCAGCTCACAAGGTTTCCTTTAAGTGTTTAAAACCAGAGTTACAAGAAACCAGAAAGAACAACAACCCAGAGATTCAACACCAAGCTATAAAAGAAGATAAGCTCTTCTCCTATCTCTTAAAACCTCTCTAGATTTTTCTGCTTGTAACTCACGCTCTTCTCATCTTGTCATTATGCCCTCTGCTTTTCCTTTTATACACCTAATGGACGCTCCCTTTTCAGGTCACTCCAAAACCTAGGCGTAACAAACCTTTCACCGCCAACGTCTCCTTTCGAGACCGTGTCCTTCAAGTGAAGACAAAAGCAGAGTGTTGACTGTTCACGTGGGCATACAGCTTTTCCAAACCTGGGCCTTACCAAAGACTTAACTTAAGCCCAATAGCTGTCTCAAGCCCACCTTGTTGAAACTGGATCGTTTCTTCACATACTCCACCTCGATCCTGTTCCGACAACCCGAAAGAACCTTCCATTCTGTCCTTTCGTCCCTGCTTCGACTGCACCGCCGAAGCCCTAGCTCAACTTGAGCTAGATCTAGTGTTTGATAACACATAGATCACTTCTCCCATCCTCAAACTTCTTTACTGGTAGAGGTTTGGTGAGAAGGTCAGCTGGGTTTATGCTTGTGTCGATTTTGGTCACAATTACATCCCCATCTTCTATCACATCCCGAATGAAGTGATAACGCGTCTGTATATGCTTCGTTCTTTCATGGAAGACGCTATTCTTGGCCAAACAAATCGCGCTTTGAGAGTCGCAGAAGATTTCAACACTCTCTTGATGAAATCCAAGCTCACAGGTAATCCTCTTTAGCCATAGAGCCTCTTTTGCGGATTCTGCTAAGGCCATGTACTCTGCCTCTGTTGATGACAAAGCCGATATCTGTTGCAGGCCGGATCTCCAACTCACGGTGTTTCCTCCTACCTGAAAAGCATATCCTGTAATAGATCTCCTTCTATCCAGGTCAGTCGCGTAGTCGCTATCACAATAGCCTTTAATCT